CAAACGGTAAGACTCGTCATATCCTGTTAGAACTGGGGTACGGTGGTGAACTCCTCGAGGTTGTCAGGCTAGCACTTGTGTCAGGCGGCCAGGTCGGCGCCTGGGTCAGGTTGTCAGGTCAGCGCCTGTGTCAGTCGGTGGGTCGGTGTCTGGGCCAGGTTGTTAGGCAGGAGATCTTCCTGCGATACTTGGGGACGAACTTCTTAGTAGCGAGCTGCCTATGCAATGCCAAGTTGTCCAAGTTGCCAGGCTGAGGGTGAGCTGCCTGTGGCGAGTTGCCTATGGCGAGCTGCCTGTGGCTAGCTGCATGTGGGGAGCTGCCTGTGGGGAGCTGCCTGTGGTGAGCCGCCTATGGCGAGCTCGAGCTGCTTAGTGGCGAGCTGCCTAGGGCGAGCTGCCTATGGCGAACTGCCTATGGCGAGCTGCCTGTAGCAAGCTGCTTATGGCAAGTTGCCTATGGCGAGCTGCCTATGGCGAGCTGCTTATGGCGAGTTGCCTATGGCGAGCTACCTATGGCGAGTTGCTTATGGCGAGTTGCCTATGGCGAGCTGCCTGTGGCAAGTTGCTTATGAAGAATTTCCTATGGCGAGCTGCCTGTGGCAAGCTGCTTATGGCGAGTTGCCTTTGGCGAGCTGCTTATGGCAAGCTGCTTATGGCGAGTTGTCTAGTTGTCAAGAGGCTACACTTAGTTGGCATGAGGTGTCAGGTGTCACAATTCCACTGGAGGGCCAAATCTGCCCTCATCATTTGCCCCCCACTCCCGAGCTGAGAGTAACTCAGCGAAGGGAGTAGATGTTTTTTTTTTTGGCCCGTAAGTCGACGAGCTAGTAAGTGCTGATCCAATTCCTTAGGCTTCGGGAGCTACCTGTATGTGGCGAGTTGCCAGTAAGGCGAGGGGGTCTCCGCCAGTTCAGTAGTGTAGCCTTAGACTCGGGCGATTTATAGTTCACTTTTGCTGATTTTGCTCCTGTTGAGGAAGCGACTGGATATTTAGCAATGGTGTGGCCCGTAGGCTTTGGGAGTGACTTGTAGTCTACTCTTCTTTTGACTTTTGCCCGTGCTGGAGAGGCGATCGGGTCTTAAGTAGTAATGTGGCCCATAGGCTTTGGGAGTGACTCGTAGTCTACTCTTCTTTGACTTTGCCCGTGCTGGAGAGGCGATCGGTCCTTAAGCAGTAATGTGGCCCGTAGGCTTTGCTTGTGAGGTGTCGAGCTATGATTGTGCTGCATCAGTTTCATAATGCCGGTCACCCACTCCTACAAGAAGCTACTAGGAGCTCGACCTTCGGGGGCAGCACTACTAACTTTAGGTCGCCAGCTCACACGGGAGCTTTGGAAGGCTCGACCGGTAAGGGCGCCTATGTAGTCTGTTGGCCGCCAACTCCCGCAGAAGCCACNGAAGCCACGAAGAGCTCATCTTTGTAGGGGGGACCTTGCGGAGAGGAYTGATGRGGCWTTATCTRAWTTGAAAGTAAGGTTGGTAGAGCTACTTAGTCTGTTAGCTCCCTGCATAGTCTTTGAGTTCATAAAAAATGTAAACTATAAAGCGGTAGCTTCAATTTCTAAAAAGTGAGGACTTAACTTTGGTAAGATGAGAACTTAGCTTTTGTAGGATGAAAACTTAGCTTTTTGTAGCGTGTTCCCACAGACGGCGCCAATTGATGTAAACGTTTCTGGTCACGTACCAATTTTTGTGATGTATAATTTTTTTTTGGCTAAGTACCTCGTTATTTGACCCGGTGGTGATGTGCCTTGGTGATGAGCTACTTGGTGGCGAACTCCGTGGTGGAGAACTGCCTGGTGGCAAGCTCCCTGGTGGAGAGCTACTTGGTGACGAACTGCTTGGTGGCGAACTCCCTGGTGGAGAGCTGCCCGGTGGCGAGCTCCCTGGTGGCAAACTGCTTGGTGGTGAGCTCCCTGGTGGCGAACTGCCTGGTGGCGAGCTCCCTGGTGGAGAGCTACTTGGTGGCGAACTGCCTGGTGACGAGCTCCCTGGTGGCGAACTGCCTAGTGGCGAATTACCTGGTGGCGAGCTCCCTGGTGCCGAACTCCCTGGTGGGCTCGTCATTTGACCTGCTCCTAGGCGGCCTGCAACTCAGAGGATGGTGGAGCTCCCTGGTGCAGCGCAACCCGACTACCCTCTGCATGAGGTGATTTCCTCTCCTTTGTAGGCGGCGGGAGCTGAGGGACCTGCGAGAACTGAATCA